GCATATCTTGGAAGAAATAAACTTGTTATTAGGGATAGAAACAGGATAGATGCGGTGGAGACTAGAGCTAGTTGGCTAACAAAAAATGTGCTTCATAGACCACGACTATGATAAAACACGTCTAGTTTGATGACCTAATACTAAAAAATATCAGTCATCGCCTTTCAACAAGGAGGGTAATGTATTCATGTAAAAATAAGTTATATACAACTTTAAAAGATACAGTTACTAGTTAAAAGATCTAGAGAATAGGAAACAAGATCTGTTTGATTCGGAATACTTTTTTGTTAATTTGGTGAAAATTTCCATTAGGAAAACAACAGTAATATGGATTTTAATACTCTTGAAATATAGGTAGTTTAAATAAAAACGACACAGGAGAAAAGAAGAATTGCTGAAAATAAATTCATCTACAAGTTGGGAAAATCGTAAAGTTGCGCCTGACTACGCAATTAAACGTATAACAGGTGAGATAAAAAACCAAAATATTCCCTCATCAAACCCACGTTACTTTTCTCACATCTTTACTTGCTTCAAGAACTAACCACATACTTTTGTCTAATGAGGGGAATGGACGTTTGGGCTTCCACTACCAAAGCTGAAGCTGCAGAAACTTTGGTAGGAATTGACCTGGTTTCATTCAGAGGACTCTACGCAAAAAAGTAATAAAAAATGTAAATAAAGGATTAGATCGGGCCAGAGATTGAATAAATTTAAGTGGAAAAGAAACGGATGAAAAACAACGAGAATCAGCCGTCGTCTTCTGGTGAGATGGACCTAAGAATCTTTTACCAAGTGCTTACATACCAAATGAAAGTCTCCACAACAAAATTAATAACTTTAAGCTATTATAAAGTTTCATGCTTGTAACGTTTTACTTCTAAGGAATTGACGTATTCTATGCTATATGCTATTCCACCGTTCTCAAAACACAAAGGTTGGATTTAATCAAGAAGAGAGACCTACGTAATATCAACACTCCTGAAGTATTTAAGGCAAATTAAACTATCAAATTAAGTATATCTTGAGAAATCATCAAGGTAAAGATAACCATTTTTACGAATTTTCCAATGTAGCAACGCAGAGATTCTTCAAAAAACTCGAAGCGACTAATGCCAAGAATAAAAAAATATATATTTAACGGTGTATCCTTATTCATTAATCCATTTTAACAGCCTGTTGTCTGTAGGCCAGCGAAGTTCTGTGGCAGGATAGGTCGCATAAGCTGAAGGACTGGTGGTTAAATTTCTCCACAAACATTTAATTAGGTTTCATGATAAAATCAAAGTTCCATTAGCCTTAGAAGTGGTCTGACTTCGTCTTCGCAACTTGGTCGTGTTGTCATGGCGACTTAGTTAGACTCACCTTCTCCAAAGTCCTCTGCTATAGCAGTTATCCTAATTCTCTCCGTCGGATTGTCGACTTGAAACATTCCCAAACGTTTAACCGGGATCGTCAGTGAGTCTTGCAAGTCTCAGCACGAAGCTACAACTTGCCAGAGACAAGTGAATTCAACCCCTTGACCAACTTTCTGTCGAAAAGGTTATGCTATCACTCCTCTTTTTGCCCTGCCCCCTCAATATACTCTTACTCTCACTCTATCACAATTTCTGACATTTATATTCCACTCATCGAGAAATGTGTCCTTTGTTGGTGGGTTTACAGTATATTCGCAAAACCTGCTGTTTGGCTTGCCCTCCTCCGCTTCGAATGCCTTATCCGATTCGGACCTCTTATTCGGATTTGTCTCATGAGCCCGTAGATCCGTTTCTTATCTTACTGGTCGACAGATTTCACTCGGTTACAGACCCAGAAATACGTACAATGTCGCCTCACCTGCAGAGCAACTAGGCTCTAATCCTCATGTTTGCAGTTAGTATCCATTGCCTACTCGTTAAGTAAGCCAGTGTACCTTGAGCATTTATATCTCTGGTTGCCTGTCACCTTTCAAATAGATTTATAGTAAATTTGCCTATAATACAGAATTTCTGTGACGGTTGTGATTATCCGTATCCATAGTCAGGCCCCCAAAGTTGAAGTTGTTTCTTCGAGCAGACAACACAAACTGGGAACGCCTTCGCTTGATTTCTGAAATTCCTCATCCTCTTCTTCCTTGCGATTCCACTTAATTCCACCTAGTCGAGCCGCTTAAAAAGATTTAGCATCCAGGGTGGACAGCAATTTCAACCTTATTTAGTTTAAATCACCACTCCCAACAGGAATCAAACCTGGATAGTGCAAAGAATAATTTGGATGTACTATAACGACACCACACTACCACGGGTATTAATGGGTCACAGAGCAGGCGTGAATAACATGGCTAGCCAGGCCCAATAGCTCTTATCTCTTGGTGTTATTGTATTTGCCATTAGAATAGACTACACTATTTCCATTCAAAGTGAGCAGGGTCAGAAAATAACATAAAATCTTGAATTAGAATTATATTAACCCTAGGTTGAATGTGATGAAGTTCTACAATATGACACACTCGCACGGGCGGTTGTGTAATGTAGCAATAATATGTCGAAATGATAGGCTGAATTACCCGGGCTTGACTCCAAACAGGGGTCTAGACGAGATCAAAACTTTACTCTGTCCTGAATGAGAATACCTCCTCGGGGGCAAGCTGAAGTGAAACTATTACCATCATGAGGCCTATTCATATAACTGTCCTTCTTCCGTTACCTACTTTAACCTATGGTAAATACAGCTCTTATTCAAGACTAAGTGATAGTTTCGAGACCTACTCATTCAGAATATGACTGAAAATCGAGTTTTTAAGGGAAACCGTCAGGAGCTCATGAGAAATCGCGTGCAAAAAGGAGAAGATGGATTAGGCTAAGAATACTTAGCTCAGCATTCTGAACTGCTAAAGATAGAGGGTCTTTAATTAATTTTAATGTAGATCTTCACATGCTCGCAATATGAAAAGCTTTCGCTATAAATACAAGATTTCCTATAAACGTTGGTGAATGAAAAATGAGAATCTTTTTTTTCTTTAAATAGCACGATTTCTCACTAACCAAAATGTGAGATGGGCTGGAGCCTTTTGGAGCCTCAACTTTTTCAAGAGAAGCTTTAGCAGCGATGGTGTCATGTGATTCTGAGATCTCGATTGAAAATTTATTGAGAGAAGAGGCCGATAGAGATGTAGAATCATTAGGAACAGTGCAGATTGAGGGCGAAAGTAAGGTATCCTCGTCTCCTCTAATAAAAAGGGCATAATAGAGTGATACGATAAATATTTATTGATTGGTAAGAATATCTAAATAAGAACCGGAGATTTCTTGTCATAAGTTTGAACGAAGGGTAAGGAGAAAACACAAACAATATGATATAAGGTTCTCATCTAAGGAAGGAAATTAGTCAAAGTGGTGCAAGCCAAGAGAACAGAGGAAAATTAAGAAAAAGAGTCAGGTATCCGTTTTATTGACACCATCGAAAATCCGAGTCAACTTTTAAGAAACTAAAGTACAATGAAGGACCAGTTTCACTGCCTTCTAAATATTTGTATATATATAAACACAAGGATAGGCAAATTCCACATCTAAGAAAGTACATTCGAGGTTCAAACTAAGACAAGTTCCCATGTAACACTATTCAAAGAAACCAGAGTTCAACATTTCTAAAACACTATGATCCTTTCAGGTTATTACACATTGGGTTAAAACTGTAAAGATCAATTGCTCCTCTCGAATAAAATTATTATTAGTGAGCTGATTTCCACTCCGAGTGAAATAGTCTGGTGATGAGATTCGAAGGTCGATACCACTAGAAGACGATGGAGGATTCCTCTTGACCAGCTGTCGATTGGCTTTACTGTAACATTCTTGTTGACGCTGTTTCCAAGGCGATTTCCTTCGATTCTAAAGAGCCGTTAACTTGAATATAGCTGTAAGAAAGTAGGGTTTCGAGACTACCAGTAAATCATCTCATTTGAATATAGCTGTAAGGATGATACCCTGCTCTGATGGTCTTTCGTCATGCGACGGACGACAGTTTAACACGTTTTCACCGGAATCGAAGGAGATTGCCTCGTAAGCAGCGTCAACGAGAATATTCCAGTAAAGCCAATCGACAGCTGGTCAAGAGGAATCCACCATCGTCTTCTGATGGGGTCGACCTTAGAAACTCTTGACCAAACACTTTAGCTCGAAATGAAGCTCAACAATTATTAAACAAGAGATTCCTCGAAACCCAAATTTATTCACAAAATTATTAAAGCTTTAGCCAAGAATATTTTTTAGAGGCAATCCTTCAGAGTCATTTAATGCTCATTATAAAATCATAGCTTTGTAGTGACCTCTCCCTAGACTTGTCATTTAATGTTTAGTTTTGCTACATCCCATATGTAGCCATGGCTCAACATCCTTTGGGGCAGAGATCACGTGAGTGCCTGATTAATCTTGACTCTTTATTTCGCGTCGACTAATCAAAGCTTGGCACCGCATCGTCCAATCACAAGTTTGATATAACAAGTAGTTAATATCCCGATGTAACCCGTGGAGTTCAGACTTTTATATTTCGAGCCGCCTTTCAATGATTGTATTTCTATTATCAGCTCCCCTTTACTGAATTCAGCCGTTTCTAAATAGAATACTTGGTAATACTATTCTTCTTTTTTTCCCTGCGTTTCGGAGCCTCCAAATTTTGAGGTGTAGAGTACAACAGTTTTATGTTTTAGATATAGTCCACGACCTCCTTGGAACACTAAAGCCTAAACTTGGTCTGGTCGCTAGTGTTCTATTATTGTATGAATTCGCATAAATTTATAGTATAATGGCTGTTTCTGCAACTCGCGATCCTCGACAAGCAATGTGGCAATCTTTGCAACTTTCCAATTAGTTCAACTGTAAAATACAACATTTTTGCCAGCCTAGTTACTATACTGAAGAAGATGTGGGTAAGCACAATCGCTTAGTGTTAAGGCTATGCAAGCCACATAAGAAAGAATCAAGAATGAGAACTATGCCATTTTTCTTTCAGAAGATTTGCTAGAAAGTGTCATGGAAGTTGCTGTTATAATAGGAGTAATGTTGCGAGAAAAAGCGATTGTTATTAATCACTATTTTTCTAGATTGAATAGATGGTGCATGACCCTTACCCTTTTTGAAGAAGGATAGGTTTGCCGTTGAGTTTTGCTTTCAGATCAACCAAAATGATGCTATAATTGTATGCGGACAAAATGTCTATGGTCGTCATATCAAGGATGTTGATGAGACCAAGGCAAGGTACTCACTAGAAGATAAAGAAGCCACTTAAATAAAAGGCTAACTTCAATTAACAATCCATGAAATGATAATTAGTGGTGAAAATTTGCTAATTTATTAGCTCATATAGTTGTAATCCAACTTGTAGGAGATTATGAAACTGTCTTTATATAAATAAATAAAGTTACCCTCTATGTCAAATTAATTTTATAATAAATGCAACTTACGCATCTAAATGCCCCAAAAACACAGGAGTGATGCGACGCCGACCATCTTTTGTCCTAATCTCTAGCTGTTGTTTGGGCTGTTGGAAAAGAATTAAGAAATTTAAATTAACCTTAAAATTTAAATTGAGTCATTGGCATGCAATCAGAATAGCATTTAGATAATTCATTATTAAGCATCTCTCCACTAAAAATTACAGATAGATTACTGGGCAAGTTAATATAATGATAAGGCCGTCATTAGCTAAGATTTCGTTAAAAAGGCATGCGGCTCTTTTAGAGGTTGGCTGAACTGATGGCAACTAGGAATTAGATACAGCTAATGCAGAAATATGGAAAATGAGATTACTATCCAAGCTTTAAAAAATCAAAGGGCGTACAAGCATTTAAAAGCCAAAACAAATTTTTCAAGCTATATTTATGATCGTCCTAATTCATAAACAAATTTATTACTTATTTTTAAAGATATAATTATCCGAATCTGAACTAATATCCAGCAAAAGTGAAAATATTTCAGAATCAATGTACTTAGTTATTTTAAAATCTAGTGGTATCCCCATATAACTGAATAGATTTATTTAAGTATGGCATGGGAACTATCGTGAAATTTTATGAAGCAATACGAAAGTAGCCAGAATTAATTCCACATTTCGATTCAAAAGTAGGCTAATGGAGAAAATTTTCACAAGTGCAAGAATGTCAATATACAAATATTAATTAAAAGAACGTGAAACAAAATTTCACAACACTAAGAAGAACGGATAAAAAGCCAGTTTGCTTAATATCGCTTTTAAAGAAGACAATTTAATGCCAGGTTGGAGTAGCTTTCATTTCGTTTGAAGAGGTGAGTGGAAGGGATTCGTAAGATGGCCTCACTGGAAGCTGTAGGGAGATTACCTTGGAGCTGTGATTATAGATTTGTGCGAATAGATCATCGGCGCACCGCCCTGGGACTTCAAAGAATCCATGCTGAGCTTTCGTTCGCCATGTGACGGACATCGTCAGAGCAGAATACCATGCCTAACGATAATCCACCAAAGCACGAAGGCAAGGAAGGTGGCCAGCTTCAAACCTACCTACTTATCATAGTCCAACTTGGTCCACTTGATGAGGCATCTCATGACTTGCTTGGATATCTTATAATTGTCATAAATGTTTGCTGAAAAGTTAAGTGGCTGCGGATGACATGTAAAGTGACGGCAGATGAAGCGTGAAATGGATGCAATTGTGATCAAACAGCTGCATACTGACCTAAAACACTTATATTTGTTATCCTGTATTGTTACCACGTGTAATTGCGCTCCATCGCAATCATTAGCTTGCACAAAGACCAAGGAGGCATTGGCCCGGCAAATTATCCATATTCCATTTCTGAAATAATGCTTATCACGTTGGGTTGTTCCTTGATTTTGCAATATTGATAGACCAAATTTGCCTGATAGAACATAGTGAGTGCTTCAGAGCGCATCCCATGAGTCATTTATGCTAATCATTGGCGAGTACTCTTAGCTCGGAAGATTTCTCTAAATTATAAATGGCGGATAGTTTTTCAACGGATAAGATACAGAAATGATAAGATGCTTAGAAATTTGGCTATAATAATCAGGACAAAGAGTAATCAAAATACGTCAAGGGGAGACATTAGGAAGCAAAGGATAGTTGGTAATAAGGCAGCAAATCTGTCAAAAACATCATCGGACGTTACCACAGTAGAAGTGCTCTCACAGAGTTTGAACTCTGCTCTGCCAACTAGTAAGGATAGTAGAGGAGATACTGGTGGAGTTTATAAGTTTTACTGACCATCTTCCAGAAGAGACTATTAGTGAAATTGAATTACGGGTCGTTCGTTTAATTAATAGCTATGTAGAAATAGCACCCATGAATAAGTGAGTGAAAAACATCATAAGGAAACTAAATGATAAGAACCAAATGGTGTTGAGAGCAGACAAAAGAGGAGCAGTGGTAGTTATGGCTAAATTAAGCTATGTATGAAAATATTATACAAGCTTTGGATGACCCTACTACATACAGGGTGATCATTAGGGAAGCTACAGAACCCTGTAAGTCAAGACTCAGGAGTTGCCTGCAGCATTGTGTAACAAACGAGGAACTGGAGAAGTGGAAGATGAATACTCATCTTCAACAACATGTTAGGCCTTGAAATGCATATTGGCTGTCAAAAATATAAGAAGATGGAGTCCCACTTAGAATTATTGTGAATAATAAGGGAAGCGTACTGCATAAACAATTACGATTTATTTGTAGCCAGTTAAAGCTGGTTCCCGAGACGTGGAAGGTTTCAGTGAAGGATTATTATGAATTCATTAACTTAGTCGACGAGCGGGAGAAGGAAAGTAGGGATTTGCTGGTAGGTTTTGATTTGATTCTATGTACAGTAACATCCCTGTAGATGATACCATACGGGCCCTGCAATCAACACTCATTTCAAAAGCAGCGCATTCACACAGTCCGCGTGCAATGGAACGCAATCACATGAGGTAACATTGTGGTATCAAAGGTATAGATGTTTTAGGGGGGGATACGGCTGTTCAGTCACAAATTCATCCGTTTCACGCTTCATCTGCAGCCAATTAACTTAAATTTTGAGCAAACATTTGAGCAAAACAGAGGACCAAATTAGACTATAAGAAGTAGGTTTGAAGCCGGCCACCTTCATTGTCTTCGTGTTTTGAATAATTATCGTAAAGTATGGTGTACTGCTCTGACGATGTCCATCACATGATGGACGAAAGCTAAGCAAGGATTAATCAAGGTTGCAGGGCGATGCACCGAAGGCCTATTCGTACAAATCTAGTCACAGTTAAAGGTCATTACTCTACAGCTTCAGGTAACGCCAACTTGCGAATTCCTTGCAATCGCCTGTCAAAAAGAAATGAAAAGTACTCAAACATCCATCTATTAATAAGATACTCGAAACCCAGTTTTACTGCAATTTAATGGTATGTTGATAAGGGGTTTCAAAATGCCCATCGGCTTAAAGGGTATTATTCATTGGACAGTATCTGCCCTCTTTTATCCAAGGACAATTGGTCATTTAGGATATAGATAAACTTGAGATCTTAAAACGCCACTCCATAGATCATAGATTTGTTTTGGTATATCAACGCAAGTCTAAAATTCCAAAACAAAGCAACTTACTCCAGCTGGGCGTTCGCTAAGTCGACTTGAAGAGGCATCGATTTGCCTCTGCTCTCCATCAGAAACAATTCTATCAGCAAGACGCTGTCGAACCTCACCCTGGGCCAGTTGAAGAGCGAAGGCTTCAGGAGTCTCTAGAACCACGTCTGCGGGTAGAGCTGATATATCAGCCGGGCCAGCAGATGCAGTGGGATGCAGCAAATCCGAAGCCTGTCCACCTTCGATACGTAGGCCTGTCTGGCCGTAAAGTTGCACATGCAACTTGGCCTAGAAAGCGAGATGAAAAATGGAAGACATTCACAGAGATTTCAGGGAAGGACTAAAAAGATAATAAGCACTACTTTTATGATAGGTAAGTAGATATTCGAAGATGGAATTACCAATCGCTCTGAAACCAGCAAAAGAGATAAGCGAATCAGAAGAATATGTCGAATTGGGAATAAAAGTGTGGTAACCAAATGAGGATTGCTTTGATATTTTAACTTTTAATTTGAGCGAAGAAGTTATCAGTGTATCACCTTTGACATAGAAATCTGTGCCGAGCTTTCGTCCCATTTAGTGTAATAGACATCCTCAAAGGAAGAAATAATATACTATTTAAGTTTACCAAGCATTAAGATGTGAATTGCGATAATCCTCAAAATTAGGTTACATACAGTTATAATTGCAGCTGGTAACCACTCTCGACTCCGCGTCTAGTAAATATAGTTCAATAATCGAGTAAAGCTCTGACGATTTTGCACTGATTCGTCGAAGAGCAAGACACAATGGGGACTTCTTTGCTCAAATCAAAGGTTAAAAAAAAATCTTCCTTCGTTGAGGTCAATTTTAGAATCTTCTGCATCCAACGGTCAGTTGACTGGAAACAGATATTATGAGGTCACTAGCAGTGTATCTAACCAGTAAAAAACCGCCTGCTTTACTTACTAGAAGCCTCGAATGGACTGGTCAGTCGCGAAAGGTGTGTCCAAGACGTTCATCGAGTCAAGGAACCCTATAATTCATCGCGTATCTCTTATCAGTAAAGGATGAAATATTAAACTGAAGCTACAGGATTCC